CGTCTCCGAGCTTGTCTCCCTTTCTAAACCCTCTGAACGTAAGAGCACTTACTTGCAGAGAGCAGAATGAGCTCCTCTATTTAATACGTCCTCAGAGACCCCGAAACAAAGGGGGGCAGACTGCGCTATTAATCCGATCGTTTAGTGACTTCCCGACAAAGTGTGACAGACATGTCGGTGTGCGCGGAGCCTGGGCGTGAACATGACCCTGCCTCTTTCCCCCACAGCCCCACGTCTCCCAAGTAGGTTCGCAACACTTATTTGGGAGGGGGGCCAATTCAGGCCGGTAAGTATTTGAAATGCCCCCCTCGTTATGTGGGTTCTGCCCTGCCGGCCTGTGGCAGGTGGTCCCTCAGCGCCCCCGCACCCCCCAGCATGCAGATGCCGGACACTGTGGGCTGAGCTCTGCCACGGGAAGCCAGAGGCCTGAGCGGGTCTTCAGGGTTGTTCTGCTCGGAGGTTGAAGCATGTTGGCTGGGGGCCCACCTGTGGCCTGGTGGTGGTGGCCTCCTGACCCCACCCTCCACCCCCAGCCCCCGCTTCCAGCGGTCGGTGGTTCTTCCAGGCAGGGGTGAGCGCTTGGGCCAGAGCAGCCGGCAAAGGCCAAGGGCCTCCCGACGCCCCTGTGTCCCCCGACACCCCTGCGTCCCCTGATGCCCCTGTGTCCCCCAGGCCCCTGTGTCCCCGAGGCCCCTGTGTCCCCCAGGCCCCTGTGTCCCCCAAGGCCCCTGTGTCCCCCAAGGCCCCTGAGGACCCTGCATCCCCCGATGTCCCTCTGTCCCCCGATGCCCCGTGTCCCCCGAGGCCCCTGTGTCCCCCAGGCCCGTGTCCCCCAAGGCCCCTGAGGACTCTGCATCCCCCGATGTCCCTCTGTCCCCCAGGCCCATGTCCCCCAAGGCCCCTGTGTCCCCCAAGACCCCTGAGGACCCTGCATCCCCCAATGTCCCTCTGTCCCCCAATGCCCCATGTCCCCCGAGGCCCCTGTGTCCCCCAGGCCCCTGTGTCTCCCTCGGGCCACCTCTTCTGTCTCCCAGGGTGACGGGACAGACATGGGATCCGTGACCGGGACGCGATCCTTACAGTTGGTGCTTCAGCGGGTGTGGGCGCGGAGGGAGGGGCATGGGGCGCGCAGAGGCACATAACACGGAGCAGGAGACCCCAGAGCTTGCCGGATGCAGCCCCTGTCACCTGCTAGCCTGTTCCCCATCCAGGCGGCCGAGTCTGGGAGGCAAGATGCTTCATTCCACCAAACTCTCATCCTCTGAAGGCTTAACGGTGATGTCGTTAGCACAAACAGGATATGGGTAAGGCGTGAAAAATCCCCTTTCCTTCCCCGCAGGCGGTAATCCCATCAAGGGCTCCGGGAGGAGGCCGCCAGGAGTCCCCGGCAGGGTGTGGGCGAGCAAGCCTTCAGGGGACTGGGGGGGGGGATTTATTTGGTTCCCACTCATTTCCATAAATAATAAAGTCTACATGTTTATCATATTTGCTCCCAAATTGGTGTTGGAGAAAAATATTACTCTGCATTTGGGGAGATGTCAGGGAGGGCTCAAGACCCCTTGCTGCATGAAAAATTCTCAGGGCCGGGTGTCCAGAACCAAGGTGGAGGCGGCGCAGCTCCCAGGGATCCAGTGGGGCGGCCGGCAGGAGTCCTGAGCCAACAGTGTCTGTGCTGAGCCTTGTGAGATCATGTTCCAGACCAAGCGAAAGGCGCGGCGGGCGGTGGGGGCGGCCAGGCAGGGGGCGGGGCGGGCTGGGAGGGGCCCCTGGGCTGCCGTCCAGCCTGGGGGCCCAGCAGGTTCAGGGCTGTGGAGCAGGTGTCTATCTGGAGCCCTGGCAGGGCGTGTCTCCCTCCATCTTGCTGGCCCTTAGCTCTTTAGACACCTGTGATGCTGGTGCCCTCTCTCCGGGCACGGCCTGCGGAGCTACTTTAAAATATGTAAAAAATAGGGCCTTCTGGGCGGCTCAGTTGGCTGGGCGGCTGCCTTCGGTTTCGGTTCAGGTCATGGTCTTAGGGTCCTGGGATCAAGCCCCATGCTGGCCTCCTTGCTCCGTGGGGAGTCTGCTTCTGCTTCTCCCTCTGCTCCCCCCGCCCCCATCCTGCTCTCTCTCAAATAAATAAATAAATAAATAAAATCTTTAAAAAATATACATAAAAAACAATGAACCTATCTACAGAAAGCATTGAGTAAATAATAGTTGGGTAGTTGGGGTGAATGCAGCAAATTGTCGAGGAGATTGGGAATTCCCTGGAATCTGGCGAAGGCAGCAGGGAGATGTAGGGGTCTTGACCAGGGGAGGCAGGAGGATGGGGCTGTCACCCGAGACTGGGGTCCCTCTGGGGTGCGTCGAGCCAAAAGCCAGAGAACAGGAAAAGGAAGGGTTTTACCTGCAACAAGGAAGGAGAACACCGGGGGGCCCTCCCAAAGCGGGTCTCCCCCAACAGCAACACTGGGGAGGGTTTAAGCAAAGGGAGCAGATAGTCACCGAGGGCCTTGCGCGGACGAGACTCAGCATGGAATCGGGGCAGAGGCCATCTGAAGGTGACCGAGTGCAGGTCAGAGTCACGAGGCCGGCAGGGTCGGCACCGTTGATGCTCTGGCTCGGGTCGGTCCCGTATCTGAGGGCTCAGAGGGGTTTGGATCCTGCAGAGCTCATGGCTCCAGGGTCCGGCTTCCCTTCGGAACCAGCCCTGGGGGTCGTGCCCCTGATCCACTGTCCCTCGTGTGACTAGGTTCTCTCCCACCTGACGTGGCTGTTTGTCCTTCTCTGCTTCCGCAGGACGGACGGGGCCTGCGATGACTTATGTCCAGAAAGCTATGTCTGTCTGTCTTTTCCCAGGGGCCTCAAGTCTCTGCCCATGGGGCCGAAACGGTGGCTTAGCCTGTGCCGTGGAGAACAGCCTGCAGGCGGGACCACCTGCCCCTTCAAGGGGCTCCTGCCAACAGCCACATTCAGCCTGCAGGTAACCCGCCAGCAGAGCACGGCCTGGACTCCCTCCTGCCACGGAGATGCCCGGGCCCTCACGAGCTTTTCTTTGTAAAGATGTATTTCTTTATTTGAGAGAAAGTGTGAGTGCACACTAGCAAGGAGGGGGTAGGCGCAGAGGGAGGGGGAGAAGCAGACTCCTGGGGAGGGAGAGAGGAGCCTGATTCGGGGCTCGATCCCGTGAGCCTGAGATCATGACCTGAGCCGAAAGTAAGAGCTGAACGCTCAGACAACTGAACCACCCAGGCACCCCCCCAAGAGCCTTTGATAACCAAGGCGGGAACTGGGGGGCTTTTTCTCCACTTTCTCCACTTTCCCTCACCCAAATGGAAACCCACCACTCCACGTCACCTGACCCCACCCACTAATGCCGTCGCAGAGACTACACCGCGGATGATGAGACACTAGCCCGCGTGGCAGGTCAGAGAAGCTGGACCCTTCTTCTTCCAAGGCTGCTTCACCCGTTTCTGTGAGCAGAGCCACGTGGAAGATAGCGCTCTTGTCGGCCACGTTTCAGGCTCCCTTTCTCCGTGCTCAGTACCCAAACGTCGCCCAGGCGGAGGGAGTCCTGTGGCTGATGAGAAGCAAGATGACGGCCCTGTGGCCGTGGCCCCGAGGGCTTGGTGCCTGCACGTGGGCTTGCCCTAACCAGCCGCAGCTGCGTGGCTTTGCGGGCGGGAGCTGGAGCGCGGGGGTCTCTCGGCGCCACCTGTGAAGACTGGACAGCAAGTGGGAAGCGTCATTGCAAGCGGGCGGAAGACCCTTTCACGCAGAGCTGGAAAGTCTACAAAACGGTCCCGGGTGACTCAGAAAATATAACCGAAATCGGGAGCCTGGGACTCGGCCCCTCCTTTCCACCAAACGTGCTCTTCACCTCCCGGGCAGGGGCTGTGAGCAGGAAGGGAGCCGTGGGTCAGCCATCAGGCCTGGGCAGAGGGACTGAGGGTCTGCTGGGCTCTCTTCTGAGGCCACGCTGTTGCTGAGATAGCCTGATATCTTCACAGTCTCTGTCCAGCTTCGCTCTCCCTCCTCCATGGAAGAGTCCCCCTTCGGCTCTGCTCCCCAGGCCGGCTGCGAGCCCCCTCACACTTGCGTGCCACCCGCCCAGGCCTTCCCCTGCGCCCCCCCGTCTGGAGCTTTGTCTGATTCCGTATCCCAAGGCCTCAGGGAGGACAAAGGCCGCGGGGACTCACTTGGAGAGCGCTCCCCTAGAAGTGACAGCGTCCCAGCCTGCGTCCAGGCCAAACTTTGACCTGATACCCCAGATTTTGGAGGCACCTTCCTGGCCTGTCAGCTGGGGTGGGTGGCTGGGCACAGGGCACCTCTGTGGCTCGGGTCACCGTCCTGGTGTCTGAAGTGCACGGGGTTCCCCAGGTCATGAGTGCGGAGCAGGACCCAAGCCTCCTGCTGCTGAATCCAGGCCCACACGGTCTACACAGTGGGTTGATTGGCCTGCTTCCCACATTTGGTGCAGGGACGTGTGGGGAAGGAAATGCAGCCCCAGGCGATGGATGGGCTGGCCCAGGGCAGGGAGCCCACCCGTGGGGTGGTTGAGGGTGTGTGTTCACCCCCTAAGTTGGCTCAGGGTGAGGGTGCACGTCCTCCCGGGCAAAGTTCTTGGGTCCCCTGGGTGGGTCTGGAGGTTCCGGCCTCCACCCCACTGTCCGAGAAGCTCCTGGTTCACACCCACCATTGCCTCTGGGGCCCACACCCAGGTATGAAATTGGGCCTTAAAGTTGGGTCCCCGACCTCTTATTCCAAAGGGGCAGGAAGAACGCCCCCAAGCACTCTTTATGTGCCAGGCACGGGGACATGCTCTACAGGCGGGGACCCATCACAGGTGATGTACGGAGGGCAGAGGGTCTCTGCGCTCTGGGGCTGGGGGCCCGGCGTGCAGTCTGGACGGCTTCCTCAGGGCGCAGGACGCCCCTTGCCCCACGAGGCTGCACGTGGCCCACACTCCCGCGAGGGCGCGGGACGCAGTCTGCTCACCAGGTGTGCTTTCCCTCCAGGTGAGCGAGAAAATGTAGCCGCAGTAAGGCGCTACCTGCTGGAGCCTGGTGTGGACAGCCCAGCCGAGACGCGCGGCCCACTCCGGGCACCCCTTGGGCCACCCTCACCATGTCCAAGAAGGGCACGGGCGGCCGAGGCAAGGGGGACAAGGCGGAGCTCCTCGCTGCTCTGCAGGCCGCCAACGAGGAGCTGCGGGCCAAGCTCACTGACATCCAGATCGAGCTGCAGCAGGAGAAGAGCAAGGTGGGCCCCCTGCCACCCCTGCCCCTTCCCGGCTTCTCCACACTGTCCTGGGCCCCAGGGTCTGCCCAGCTGGTCCCAGGGTCCGCGGGGGACAGACAGCTCTGGGAAGAGGGCGGTGAGGGCGTGGGGGGACGTGAGGTGGGGGACCGCCCTGGTTCAGTGCCTGGGCCTCCAGAGGGGCCTCGGCCAGTGGCACCATCCTGGGAAATGTCCCCCGAGCGGGTGACAGTGGAACAGCCTCTGTGTGGATAAAGGAAACAGGCTGGGCTTAGCGCTTCCTGGTGCCATCAGAAATGCTGGGGCAGGCCCTCCGGGTGGTGGACACCCAGGGCCCAGACCCCTGTGGGCAGGCCTGAGACAGCCCCACCCAGACGTCCAGCACTTGGGGTCCTTGAGGCCGCGGGGAAGGCGGGGCTTGTGCTGGGGTCTCTGGAGGAGCGTGAGGGGCTGGTCATGGGACGGCCTGCTCCGTGCCAGGCCAGGCCCGGGTTGGGGGGGGGTCCCACTGGCCCGCTGTCCTCTCTGTCTGTCAGAACCTCTGCCCTCACCCCCAACCCGAGGCCTCCTGGGAATGTGGCGAGCGGTGGGTCTGGAGGAGTCCTGCCCAGCTCGGAGTCCTTCGGGGAGGCAGTGGGGGAGGGGGTCGGGGTGTTGGGGGCCGGGTCTCTAACCGCCACATGACCCAGCCTGGTTAAATCCTAAGAGGAGTACTGTCATATTCCATGACTGCCGATAATCACACGAGATTCAGATTCCTTGTCCGTCAGTCCAGCGCTGATAGGACACAGCCGCGCCCGCCCGTTTCCGTGCCATCTGCTGGCTGAGCCTGTGGCCCATGCTGGTCACCCACCCTCCTGCCGAAGGTCCCTGCTCCGTACAAAGGGGACAGGAACAGGACCGTTGGTGCCGGGGAGGAGTAGCTCAAGGAGCCCCGGGGATGGGCCTGCAGCTCGGATACCATAGGCTGCTGTCCCAGCGACCACGTGGCACTCCCGTGGCCAGGCCTCCTCTGTGGGCCCGCAGGAGAGTCGGAGCCACCGGGCCCCGGCTGGGACCAGGGAGTCAGGGAGCATTGGCCTCAGCACTTTCTCTGGGTCAGGCGGTCACCACGTCAGCAGGGCCAGCACCCAGAGGCCCAGACACATGGCCTGGGGGAGCCGGGGGCGAACGTGCAAACTTCCTGAGGCCCAGGACAGAGTCCTCCCCCATGCCGCGGAGTCCTCGAGGTCATCCACACCGCGGCTGTGGGCCGAGCCTCAGACGCACGAGCGCCGTGGGTCAGCACTGGGATAAGGCCCTTTGGGAGAGCGTGGTCCGTCCAGCACTCAGAAGCACGACACATGGCCATTGGGGTGTGGCACTTTCCTTATCTACAGACCCTGCCCGTTATGGCGATATGGTAGTCCTTTGTGTGCACTTTCAGCGAAGCCCACCTGTCCCGCAACGGCCCAGGGTGGGGGTGCGGGAGGGAGCGGGCTCGCAGCGCATCACCAGCGCCAAGGCGGGCGGGCGGGGGTGGAGCTCGTGCCCTCTTGCTGCCGTGCAAGGGCCCTGGGGCTGGCGGCCGAGGTCCTGCAGCCCAGGCCCTGTTGTGATTTATGTTCTGGGAAGACTGACCTCTTGGAACGAAAGAGCAGGCCCCAGTCCCTCGTGTTGCGGTTCCTCGCCGCACAGGTGACAGCAGGCCGCACACCGGATGCTCTGGTCTCTTCTTACCTGCTCCGCGTGCAGCACTGGAGTGGGTCTGGCTCTCCTCCCGTGCCGACCTGCCCACGTCCGCCTGCCGCCCCATCCAGGCTGTTCCCAATGTTCGGCTGGCACAGCGGCCGGGCAGCGAGCATCCTTGTCTGCATGTCTGAGTCCACGTGCAAGGAAGCTGGGTCCGAGTGTGTGTGCGTGTGTGTGCGTGTGTGTGCAGGGATCACACCAGCGCCCTTCCAGAGCACCACGCTCCCCCAGACATCCCAGTCGCCATGGCTTACAAGACGGCTGAAATTTACCTCTGTGGGTGGTGAGGCCCCCAGCCTGCGGGTTCCAGACCTCGCTGCGCGTCACTTTCCTGTGACTCTTGTTAGAAATGCGGCTGCCAGCCAAACCCTGTCCTGCAGGGCTCACCCTGCCCTGTGGGTCTCACCCTGCCCTGCGGGACTCACCCTGCCCTGTGGGTCTTACCCTTCCCTGCGGGACTCACCCTGCCCTTTGGGAGTCACCCTGCCCTGCGGGTCTCACCCTGCCCTGCGGGAGTCACCCTGCCCTGTGGGACTCACCCTGCCCTGTGGGACTCACCCTGCCCTGCGGGACTCACCCTTCCCTGCAGGACTCACCCTGCCCTGTGGGACTCACCCTGCCCTGCGGGACTCACCCTTCCCTGCGGGACTCACCCTGCCCTGTGGGACTCACCCTGCCCTGCGGGAGTCACCTTGCCCTGCGGGGCTCACCCTGCCCTGTGGGACTCACCCTGCCCTGCGGGA